ACCCTTTCATTACCACATTGTCACCATTGCTTCATTGTTGCAATGTCTGTTTCAATCTCTTGATGACTGCCTATGTTTTTTTTTTTTTTTTCTTTTACCCTTTGCTTTGTCTCTCTTTTAATTACCTTTCTGTTTCCCATGGCTGTAAGGAAATTTTCCCATGAAATCAATTTAGGGGACAGAGGGTTAATTTGGGCTCACAGTTTGAAGTTACAATCTATCCTGTCAGGAAAGTCACAATAACAGGAGGGGCAGCTGTTCACATTGCATCCACATTCAAGCAGAGAGAAATGAATGCCTGTGCTTAGCTCATTTTCTCTGTTTCATACAGACCAGGATCCCAGCCCAAGGAATGGTGCCACCCAGAGTGGTCAGATCTCCCCATTCAGTTAACTTAATCAAAATAGCCTCCCGCAGGGCATGCCCTGAAGCCCCTATCTTATCAAGTTGAAAACTGAGGTTAACCACCAGAGCGTCAGAGTACTCTCTAGTATTATGTGTTTTACTCACTCGTTGAATACATGTATTTTAGGCGCTTTCAGTGTACTATGCATCATGTTCAGCGATGTGGGTTCAGTCAACAAAGAGGGCAACAGCTAGGCCTTGAATTTTAGCAGTTAGAACACAAAAGGGAAATGGATACTATTTCAGATGGTGGTTAATGCTACATGTGGAAAAAAGTAATGCAGGGAAGGGTACAGAATGTGCTACACAGTGATGGCTCATTGATAAGGTCGTGTTTGAGGGGTACATCTGTGGATATATGTGGGTGAGTCATGCAGTGAGAGATAAAAGGGGTCCTACCTTGCCTGGATGATTGTGTGATCACCGGGCATGGTTAAATGTTCTTCATCCGCCCTCATGGCTTCTGGAATATGCTTCTGTTAGAACTGTAGCTACTCAACACCCAGAACCTTCTCATTTACTTTTATGCTCTCACATCTGATCCATCACTGTAAGCATTTATATCATCACTGTTGATGCATTGAATTAGAAATGAGATGCTCACATTGACAGCTTCAAACTTGGGATCAGGAGTCTCAGTTATGATGGAGGATTTTTATATGCATTTTTACTTGTCCTCTGAGATCAGCAAATATATTTTTTTTAATTTTTATTTTTGGTTTTGTTTTAGTTGGTGTCGGAACCTGCCGACAGTCAGTTGGGTAGCTGGGTAGAGATGTGCGGATTGGAGAGACAATGAAGAAGACAGGAAAGAATGGAGAGGGCTGCCAGTCAATGCCGGACAGCCCCGAGTTTATTTCATAGCCAGCAATTATAAAATATAAAATAAAAGTATAAAATAAAATATAAAATTGTATATAAACACAGTTTTGAAGGACAGAGGTAGAACAATGCACAGCACAGGCATTCAACCACTGTCTATCCTGCCTTGCGTCAAGGAGCAGGCAGTTTCATTTTCTACCTTGGTATTCCTCCGGCTGGCATCAGCAGCCTGTGTCTAGCTGGATAGTGTGTTCCTTTGTAGGACTTTCTCACAGCCCTTCAAGGAGACTGTGGGATAATCAGGACTTTCTCATAGCCCTGGAGCAAGGAAGCTTGAACTCTATTGACTCAGAATAGACTTCAGATTCAAACTGGGAAACTGAGTCTGCTTTTGGCTCCTACAAGTTGGGATTTGGTTTTTGGTCATATGAGCATGAATCATAGACTTTAGAGTCAAATTTTTGTGTACACCAGGGTGGCCTGAAGTTCTCATCCTTGACTCACCCACTGTGAGAATGTTTGTTAGTGATCAGAGATCAAGCGGTACCTTACGTCTGTTTGTCCTTTGTTATCATTTTTTACAGCCTCTTGGGCATTTCTTTGAGTCATTGTGGGGTGAATCAACAGGAAGTGTCTACAAGAATTATTTTCTGTAGCTATGAAAGGAAGACTAGCTCAGCTGACTTAGCCGGATCCTACCCGCCATGGACGGGGAGTCTTTATGGTGCCTCAGGGCAAAGGGTGAGGCTTACCAGAAGTACTGTAAAAAACTGCTTCATGTGCCAGATGGAGGCCAGCACATGCTTGTTGGGCACCCAGGGATCAGAAGTGAAGCAGAGTGTTGGATCAGGGTGATTTTGTGGTTTTTCCACAGGAAAAGAAGTCTGAGGAGACCAGCCATGCTGCTCATCCTCTGAGGATTTGAACCTGAACAAACCACATAAGCTTGGAAAGCAGACATTTCCTTTACATTTACTTCAGCTCTGCCCCCTGGAGTCTCTTTGACTGGACTCATTTCTCTTGAGCTTCAGTCTATCTTAAAGATTTCCTGCCAGCCTTTTTAGGAGACTGACATTTTCTGCAGTTCCTCTTGCAGGGTCCCTGAGGTACCTTCTAGGGCAGTAGCGGAGTAGCTTAGTGATTTACCCCTCATGCAGCACTGGGAGTCTCTAAGTAATAAATGCCTTTCCTCCCACAGTGCAAGACTTGCCACATCTGCCCCTGAGCCCTCTGTTTTAGCCCAGACAATGAGCCAGTGATTTCACTTTAGCTTGTAAGATCTCAAGCTCCCACCTCCACATTTCCTTCCATTCTTCCCCCTCTGTCTTTTCAAAACACAGTTTTAGAAAAACACCTGTCCACCTTCTTTTTCCAGTTTCTAACACTAGCCATCACCGCCCCTCCCAGGTTAAATTGCCACTCATTTTAAAACATCAGTCCTCTGAATCCTGTCCATCAGTTTTTGTATTCACAGCTGGCTTTGACTGAGCGATTACTCTCACACGTAGTTCTGTTACAAGTTCTTGATTCGGTTGCATGGCATTGTAACCGTAGTCACTTAACGGTTCTGATCACCTTTTCCCCCATTTTACACTCGAGGATGTGGACACTTTAGAAGGTTGTAATTTACCAGATGTCACCGCATCAGTAAATGGCAGAGCCAGGATTTGAGTCTGTGTCTGTCTTGCTGTCTAGCTGTCAGCTGTAGGCAGCAAATGAACACAGTTGGAAATCCTTGAAGAATTCGGAACTCTTGGCACAAGGAAGGCGGAGGGGGGGTCTGTCCTGCACAGCTGATGCCAGGTACAGGAAATGGAGAGTGGGCTTCCTTTGTTTCAGGAGGTGTGCTCCGGAGGAGTCATCCGCAGGCTCACTCATACAGGCAACTTCCCTTTTGTTCTTCTATACCGCAATGCGCCACTCCCTTCTAGATCATTCTCATCAGCATGAAACCAGTCTAATTTCTACCATGGCAGAAAAGCAAGCAAGCACAAACAGCTTTCTCCATTTCCTGCCCTGCCCCACTCTTCTATCGAATGTCCTTGGCCCTTTTACAGCAAGAGTTGAGTTTGCCTTCCCTCCTCCCGTCCCTGTCCCTCTACATGTCACGTGGCTAATTCCGTTGCCCATCTGTCGTCCCCACCTTAACCAGCATGACAACAACACAAACAAGCAAAAGAGACAGGGTTGGTTCTTTGTGTACGTTAAGAATGATCTTTTCTTGGCTTCTGGAACACAAACATATTCTTGTTTGCTACCTCCCTCAACAGCCACTTCCTGAAAGGGCTGCTAGATCTGTGACTAGCGGTGGTCAGACTGTTAACTATGACTTGTTTTTCTCTCTCTCTCTGCACTTCTTCTGAATTCACCCATTCTGAGTACACCCAGGTCTATGTTACACCAGTAGAAGAAGCACAGGCCACAATATGACTCTATCCCAGTGGGGCACAAGTCTTGGTGACGGCCACATCTTGATGATCTGTCTGTTAATACTAACTTGGAGATAGCTGATGACCGAGCCTAGGGTCCACCAAGGGTGCCACTAAACTGGGTCAGAGAAAACTATGTAGTCTGAGTAGGGTTGTGTCCTTTGCCTGCTTCAAGGCTGGTAACAGTCCGGCCAAACTTGAGTCTGCCTCACTGGCATGATTAATTCAAAGTGGCAATTGGGAGGCTTCATCTGTGAGCTGTGGGCTGGCTCGAAAGGCCTTTATTTTCTGATTGCTGCTAGTTCCCATTACAGTAAGCAGAATCCTGGGCTGGTTTTTGTGCCCAGTTGCCTGTGGGTGGAGTCCTCTCCACCCGTCTTTCTGCCCCACCCAGATCCAAGGAGGAGAGCTGGGGAATTCAGGAGTCTGACTAACATAGTTCCAGTTGCTCAGTCTAGCCTGGAGCAGAGGTTACAGAATTCTTGCAGGTACTATGCTTCACAGCGATGGCCTGGAACTGAGTTTAAAGTCTAGGGCCTGGACTTAATTCCTTTTCCCTCTGAACTCCATACTTCGTGGACTTGAAAGAGCATCAGCATGGACAAATCTTTCCTTCCTGTCTTTTCAATGTGTCTTTTCTTGTTATCAAATGAAATCTAGACACAATGGTCTCTCAAATGGATTCTTCAGGCATTAGGAGGGTAGTTTGGACTGTAACAGCTGGTCAAAATCTGTGTGCCCGTGGGAAGATGGTTGCTAGGGGTCCTTATTTAGCTGCCATCTTGTTCTGCTATCTTTCAACTGGGCTTTTTAGTCAAACCACACTCATCTTGAATATGGCCCAGAACATGGAGATGCTTAGAGCTGTGGTTTTAGTTAGAGAAGCCTAGCCTACTCACTCAACAAGTGTTTAGTGACTACTTGTATCCCTGATGCTGTTTTAGGAGCTGGGACTGCAGAAATGAACAACAGAGCAGAGTCCTTGCCCACAAGCCACTTTCATTCCAGCACAGAATGTGAACTAAAACACACAAACAAAAAATACTGAATTGCTAAGTAAACAAGTAGAGAAGGAAAGGAAACAGAATGTGGTAACAGAGAAGAGCAGGGCCAGTTCCTGTTTCATGAAATGCACCCAGGGAAGGTTGAGGAGAAATCTACGGAGGGTGGGTTTCAGCTATGCAGATACCTTGTGAAGAGAGATAAATGGTTTTGGCCAGGGAAAAACATGGCAATTATTATATTATTATTAAAATTTCCAGAGAGTATATATATACATAATATATATACAATATATACATATATATATACACATACATATATACATTTTTTTTAAATTTAAAGGTGTCATTGCACATTCTCCAAATAATACGAAGGCAGTTAACAAAAGAAAGAGCAGAGGTCTTGGATTTAGAAGACTTGCGCTTGGGCCATCTACTCATCTTTTGCAAGCTGTGTGGCATCAGGTAAGTCATTCTACCTTGAATACCAAATTTAACCTACGATTGCTGTGGATCTGATATTTTCCAAGTATGCCATACTGGCCACTTCGGTGTGTTGGCAAGAATCCTCTCAATTTAGAGATATGTCTGTCCTGCTTATATGTTTATTTTTTTTCTTCCCATCTTCTAGGCTCTCTGTGCAAGCACTTTGATTACGAATTGTGCCTAGTGCTGTCAATTTACAGCTGCAACTAGTGCCGGCCATGAGGCTGCCGATCAGACTTGAATGCATTTCCTTTGCATACGATCCACCCTCGAACACCACCCGACTGCTTGTTTTTTGGGGGTGCCTGTGGTTGAACCTAGAGCCTCCTGCATAGTGATCAAGGGCTCCACTACTGAGTTTCATCTTGGTTCCAACAAATACTCTAAAACTTTTCAAGTAGACGTATTATGTAGTAAAGTGCAAACTGTATGCAAATAAGATAAACAACCTTCAGAGAGATTGGTGTCTTAATTTCTCATATAAAATGTGATTAAATGTGATTATGTTTTTTAATCGAAGAGGAGTATAGGGAGATGAAAGTTTCACACAGACCAGCAGGAACCGTGCTGATGTGATTAGTATACTCCACATACTAAGCCAAAGGAGATTTCCTTCCTCCCTGTCAGCCAAAGCGCTGGTACACTGGTACAGAGTCAGCACTGTGGCTCTTTTGGGTGTGTTTCTTATGTTGGAAAGGATGCTGATGGTAGTTTCGGACTTCAAGTAAGAGGACCACCCACGTAAGCAGAGTCACTCTACCCCTTCCTTACTACCCAACCTTTACCAGGAACAAGAGTAAGGCCACGTTAACTGTACTCTTCAGAGCTCGGTGACATTGGCTGCATTGGTGGGGACCCTCAAGGTTTTTGACCAGTAGCTTTCCTCTCATGACACCCTCTTTGGTCATAATTCTTCTACCTGGTTCTCTCTCCAGTAACTAATTATTAGTAATGTCAAACATATTCTAATACATCTTCATCAACTGTTGAAGCACATTGCTTATTCGTAACTTTTGACCGCTTTTCACCTAGGCTGTGAATAATTTTCTTACAGATAGGCAGTTTTTCATATTTTCTGAAAACAAGACTGATTAATTATGGACACTCAAGGTAGTATCTTCCCAGTTTGGGGCTTTTTTTTTTTTTTATCTTTGCTTGTTTGTATTTCTTATGAGGAAATTTAGCAGGAAGAGACTTGGGGGGAGGGAAAGGAGAGGAAGATACAGTCAGGATGTAAGATATGAGAAGAATAAAAAGTGTTTAGAATATGCATTCAATGAAATTTAATTCAGTTTTTCCTCTAACTTGTCCTTTATGTACATTGTTTATTAAAGTTTTCTTCAACGTAAAGTGAAGAAAAAAAAAGTTTTTCTCAACTGTATTACTATTCCTATTTAGGTATTTAATCCAGGTGAGTGTGTCTTTTCTCTGTGATGTGAGATAAATGTCAAATATTATCATTCCCCACATATTTTTTCTGAACACTTCTTATTGCTGGACATTCTTTATTTGAGATGTATGCACATTGGTTCCAGGCCAGGTCTCTTTGTGGACATGGTACATCAAGCTTTCCTGTCAGACTCTCTTTGGATCTCCAGCCCCCAATTAACAACATGGAGACTTCTTATTCATTATGAAAATTTGGCCTTTAGCTTAGATTTGTCCCCAACTAACTCTTATAACTTAATTAACCTGCATTTATTAATCTACATTCTGCCACATGGCTTTTACCTTTTCTCAGTACAGCATGTCAGACTTGCTCCAAGTTTGTTGGTGAGTTCTTCATGCCTAGATTCCTCCTTCTCTTCCTATCTTTCCCCAGAAATCTCATCTAGCCTCTTCTGTCTAGCCATTAACCATTTAGCTTTTTATTGCACCAATCACAGCAACACATCTTCACACAGTGTACAGATATCCCACAACAGTACACACTGTTTGCACACCATGTCTCTTTGTATAAGTGATTATGATTTTAATGCTGATTTGTCTCTACTTATGATCTGATTTTCTTAATTATTACATCTTTATAAAAGTGTATGTAGCAAGCATCATGCTTCTTGGTGACTATTTTAACTTATTTTGTTTATTGTTGTCCTTACCTTTTCACGGAGGATTTTAGATTCATCCTTAGAAGTTCTCTTTGAGGTTTTACATGTAGTTTGGATGTGAATTGACAAGGCTGACATCTTCATTTTGTGGAATGTTCCCATTCAAAATATCACACGCATCCTAAATTAATAGAAAGATAAACTAATGAACAGGGGAAAGAATCCTTAAATAGACCAAATCATATATAGGACAGTGATTTTTGGCAGGAAGCAAATGAAGAAGACATGGTCTTTTTTGATATGATTATGGGAAAATTCATGCCATATGGACAAAAGGATCTTTGCAGCATTTCATGGCACATACAAAAGAATTCAAAATAGGTCATAGATACAGAAGTTAATAGATGACATTTAAAATCTCTAGAGAAGAGCACAGGAGAAAAAATTTTGATCTTGAATTTTGAAAAGACGGAACACCAATATGTGGTCCACTAGTGAAAAAACTTATAAATAGTATTTCATGTTTATGTATGTCAAAGTTTGAAATTGTCTGCCTGAAGTATACACACTGTATCACATGTCACATGCCTCAACAAATATGCCTTAGAGGGGACAGAAACACAAAACCATCTTCTAAGAATTCCTGAGGAATCACATGTCCTTTGAAGGCATTCTTTTTCAACACTGGTGACCATCTTGGTTAGGGATTTATTTTTTCATATTTCACCCAGTTCTCTCTTGCTGCACAGTGACCATCTTGGATATTTTCTTGGACCACTCACCCTACATATCCTGAATGTAGACTTGCTTAGAGTGCTGTAATCTTATGGCTGAGGTTTTGTTGCAGGCTGATCTTGAGGCTGTAAGATGGAGAGTGAATATAGGAAAATACTGTTGTTGAACGGCCTGGACCAAATCACGGAGGAGGAGCTGAAGCGGTTCAAGTTCCTTGTCACAGACAAGTTCGGCATCCCGAGGAGCAAGCTGGAGGAAGCTACAAACAGGACCGAGTTAGCTGACCAGCTGATTCAGAGTACAACAAACCCATCATCTGCGCTGAAAAAGACTATTGGTCTTTTCCTGGAGTTGAATTACAGGAATGCTGCAAATTCTCTTCAGGAGGCAAAGAAAACAGGTATGTGGAAGGGCCCCTCCTTTAATGGCATGAGAACGATAAAGCTGTCATGACTGATGTAGGGAACTAATTTACTTAATCACCAGTCCCTTCACCCCTGCCCGAGAGTCACTAAGAAGTGTGTTACAAATTCCTCAGCCATCTTCTGATGTCAGCAGTCAGGGCTGCTACCCACTGTTTCCAATCTACTTGCAGAAACTGTACACACAGGATGGCAGTGGTAATGTTCAAGGTCCCATTACACAGTACATAAGGCTTTCACACTTTGCCAAAGTCTGACAATAACATCAGGAAAGCACAGCCTTGAATAGACAAACCAGAGAATCATCTAATTTTGCCACAGACTATTCACTTCCGTGCTGGGCCAGCCTGCCATGGTCCCAGTCAGTCTTTTTTTAGAAAGCCTGTGTGCTTGTAGTCCATGGAGTTTCTACTCTTTTCTATAGCTCCAGAATAGATGACACTATGAATTCCCAGGACACACAGGATATGTTTGTATTCAATAAACCACTACTCAATCTCCACCAGTTATATGCATTTTGCTAAGTTCCGATTTCTCCCTAAGAACAATCGGTGAATCCTTTGTGTTCGAATGACTGATAAGAACCGATAAAAGAATGCCTCATCAAGAGAATCCCTAAAATGAGAGATCCCAAGAGCAGTAATTTGGGGACACTAAGTAATACAGAAGCTGCAAAATTTTAACACCTTGCAGAGGCGACTTGTGTGTTGCCACACAAGTGACCTGGCTTCTCAAGTGTCATTGATATCCAGTTTACGTGATGAAGTAAGGATACAATTCCATTCAGATATAAGTTGTTATGTGATTGTGAGGAACTTAGAGCAAGCCTGATCATGTCAAGCACTTTATTTTCAAAGGGTGACTGAAATTAGAAGCACTATGTAGTTCTTCCACATGACCACAGGATGGCAGTAAGAACACGTAATTGCTCCAAGTAGCTACTTTAATTACTGACAAGCCAACTGAATGAGTTTGATAATATATCTTTTACTCTCCCCCATCAATTCTTATTCCTGATTTTTTTTTCTGGCTAGGGTGATATAAAACCCCATACTCCAATTTTTTTTTTCATTTTACTGTTTTAATGATGGTGGCGTTATATCAGTTTGGTTAGCTCAAAATGATTGATGACTTTGGGACCTGGTTGAAAACCCAGGAGTGACTGGCATCTCCGCTTGCTGACCTAGAAGTCAGTTTTGTTCTGATAAAGCTTAAAAGCTCAATCTGAAGGCATCTTCAAGCCTGCTTGAAGCACAGCACTGCTGTGTCAATGATGCCTCTGGCTGTTATGGCAGCGTCGATTTCTGGGTTCTTTTCTTGAAGTCTCACCTAGCATTTATTCTGATAAATGTCCATTGTGTCTAGTCATGACCTTGTGTCATGAAGAGTAAATGGAGATATCTGAATAAATTAAAGAATGTCATTAAAGCATTACAACAGGGTCCAGGCTATTAGATAAGGCTTGAACAGGAAAACAAATGAAAAAAATACAAGGGCACATAAGCATGATACAGCAACCAATTTCTTTGAATATAATGATAAGTTAGATAGATAAAAAGTGCATGTCAAATTATTAAAGAAAACGAGAACTATCTAGTAGGGAGATGATACCCTGCCAGATGTCTCCCAAATAACACTATGAATGACATTTAAAACAAGATCAGTGTGGTTGATGTGGTGGGATAGAATGACATGGTTATTCCCTTGGGACCCCGGGACTCTCCTATAGATTGGATGTTTTCATGTGCATGTTTCTCAAAAAACAAACAATCAAACAAACAAACCAAAAACTATTTCATAGAACTAACCTCTGGGAGATCTGTTTAACTTCTTTCAAGCATTTCTAGCCATTTTGACATTAGTCTCATGTCAGCATCATTTACAGCAAAATGGAGTGGAAATGTGACAAAAAATACTGAGTAATGTTTTAAGTAAGTTTATGGTTTTAAGTAAGTTTGTGTTGGGCTGCATTCGGAGCTTTCCTGAGTTCATCTGACCCACAGACCATGGGTTAGACATGCCTGATAAACATTTTGAATCCCTGGTAATGGGTTTCTTGGCTGACGCAATAAGCCAGATCGAGCAAAATTAATAAGACCAGGTTTAATCTGAGCAAAGTATTCCCTCTTGATCTTGGGGTAAGGAAGAGGAGAGGTCACGTGGCAAGGCTACGGACCAGAGATTAATTACTCTGCAGGCGGGCTCTTTAGTAGTTCTGGGGGAGAAGCCACCACTTGGTGGGCTTTCTGAGAGGGGGCGGGTTTTGGAATGGGGGAGAATGAGGTTGGAGCAGAGCTTCCAATTTAAACAATGCCTACAAGAGCAAAGGTCTCAGTAATATCCCTGACCAAGACTCAACTACTTTCTGTTGTCTGAAATATAGTGACAGAGCACATACTTGTTATATGACTAGAGAGCTCACTGTACTGCTAGCTATATTCATTAAATCATTTGATTTCCAACAAAATCAAATCAATGAACATCCCTGAATGGTTCAGATTCTGTGAGAAACCACATCTAATAATTTCTTATGACCTGCTTTGCCCATGAGTTCCTTAAGTAATTGCACACTGACCATCTTGATAGATGGTCACATCAAAATCAGGACAAGAGATTGCCTTTTCAGAATAAAATAAAAACCTGACCTGGGTACCCAGGCTATATCATGCAGGTTATATCATTCACTTAACAATCCACTTAGCCACTTATCCATTCACAAATAATAATTGAATTCTTAATGGTTATCTGCAACTCCTTTAGGCTTAGGAAATTGGAGTTAAATCCAGTGTGCATTTTTTGTAACATTTACTACAATAAATAATTGTAGGTATAGTTTTTTAAAAATACATTTTTCTTTAAAACCTTATATTAGAGGTAACTTTTCCTTACACTTTGCTATTATAGTATTCTAAGCATGATTACCTATGACTTATGCCATTGAATTCCGTATATTTGTATTTACTTATTTATCAATCACTTAGCTCCACTTTTAATCTTAAAGACTTACCTCCTCTGGCAAGTTCTGAAAGGTGAAGCTGAGCTCTAGCCTTTTGGTTTTCACCTCTTCCTCTTCAAAACCCCTTTCATCATTTATCTATTTAATTTGGGGGGTGGGGAGCATCTGTGTGTCAGAGTAAGCATATGATGGTGAGAAGACAGCTTGCAGGACTTAGTTCTCTCCTACCAGCAAGGGAGAGCTGGGGCTGAACTCAGGTTGCCGGGTTTGGTGGCCAGTGCCCTTACCTCGGGAGTCATCTTGTTAGTCCACGTCTCCCTCTTGTGGAAGGACAGTTTCCTAGGGAAAATATTCTGCCTTAGCAGTTATTTATTTTCTTCTCCATTGCCTTAAATCCATCACCACACTTTTACCTGGCTTACATGGTTTCTGCACTGGTTCAGATGAACTCTGTTGTCCTAACATTTGAGGTTCTGGATGGCCTGTACTTTGGGTCCATTCTTTTTGTGATTGATGTTTGCACATTTGAGGAAGAGAAAGCAGTAACATATATTATTTTTTGTCTTTGCTCTTCTACTTCTTCATTTCCTCCCCCTCCTCTTCATCTTCCTTATTCTTTCACCCAGCCATGCTTTTGCATATGGCAGCTGGTATCAGCTACAGTGAGACACCTTACTCTCAGGTTCTCTGGACCTGGCTATTGCCTGGGTCCTGTGGTCAAATAAGGATACCAGCTACATTGCATGGTCCAGTTAGATCACTAACTGGACTTTGCAGTCATGTAGAACTGCTGGCTAGCATCTGTGATTGTCTTTAATTAAGTAAGTTTACAGGATATAGATCCTAAATGAGTGGCATTGATACTTAGAATCTCTATTTGTGGATGGCTGTAGATTGGATTCTGAGGCTGGGAAAGGCTGTGGGTGGTGCTGTTGGGCCACTTGGAATGGGCAAGGCCAGAGACCATGCTAGGCAGCTATGTATAATCTCAGGCTTTCCTACCAGTTTGGACCCACACTGAACCTCAGGCTGGACCCCAAATTCCTCCCAGTCGCATCACTTCTTGGCCACTAGGGTTGGGAAGACCAGATGCTCCATTCTGAAAAAATACTGGGGCACAAACTTGCCTTTAACAAGAGGCCTTTTTTGAAACTCCGGGCTGGGTGGGGTGAGTTTCACAATAGGCTGTGGCCAGCAGGATCAGATGTTTCCTTTCAAGGTTATTTGTGTGCATGAGATTGCCTATGATCTTCAGAAAGCCTGATGCATTGCTCTGGGGTTGGCTAGAGTCACCAGTACCCTGGGCAGATTTGGATGATGCACTCCATACATGTGCATATGTGTATCCCCTCACCTAGCAAGTCTGGAGAAGCCTTACATAGAGTGATAAGGCTGAATGGGAAGTTGATTCAAAAATAACAGATCTGCTGTGCATGCCTCTTAAAAGTACTATAGGATATTTTCTTTGACTGGGCAACTCCATGAGGCAGAGCATGTACTGGTCACGGTGAGACCCACTTCATTTTGCTTATTTCTAATTGACTCTTATAGTTCCAGTCTTGCCAATGTCCCCAGTGTTCCTCATGGGATGAGGTGAAAATGAGCCTTCTACAATGATCCCATAATGCTGAGAAAGCCACAAGCCTACCCCCTGCCCTCCATCTTCACCACAGGAGGTGTGGGGCCATGGGATTCTCTGCATAGTACTGTGCCATCTTGGGAGGGAGATAACATTGTTAAAAGTGAAAACAGTTCTCTCAACCTCTAGAGGAACTTTTATCAGTCCTGTGGTTGCATTCTGAGATGTTCCCTAATGTGCCTTGTCTGTGGATAGTTGTGAGTTGTATTCTTATGAGGGGCTGAAGATGGGAAACTCCTAATCCATCACCCTGCTGCTGTCTCCTTTCTAAGTTTTCTTCTTGAGAGATAATGGTATTCTAACGTACCAGCCATGCTTGCTCATGCATTTTAGGTTAACACACCTTTTTCTGGTTTCTTCTCCTCTTCCTCCACCTCTTCCTTCTTTCTTTTTCTTCAGCTGATATTCGATCCAAGAAGAAAGGATCACAGCAAGTAGAAAAAAAAAGTCAAGCTGAAAACTGTTCTGGTGCCTCTGCTGCTAGCAGAGACAAGGCCATCAAGAAACACTCTGCGGCAGATGTCTGTCCTCAAGCCAAGGTAGGCTAGGGCGGGTCCTTAGTCCTCATGTGGGCACCCTCCCATGACTATCCCTGTCATCCATCGCATGAAGCCTTCGGCTCTTTGCCTCAGAGCCTACAAAGCAGGAAAGCAAGGCTAGGCTAGGGGAGATATGTCTGCATTACAAAAAGAATAGTCGCTCAAATTCATCAGTTTGCATACCCGAAAGCTTCTAATTTCTGCCATGCTCTGGATATACTAACGTGGTTGCCATCTTAGCCTCTGTTGGAAGAAAATTCAGACAGGGACCGTTTTCAGCGAGTATATTTTATGGTGCTCTCAGCATTAGTTCATGTGAGGAGGTTTAGGAAGTGAGGGGATGGGGAGAATTTCAAGTTCAGTGGGATGGCAGCAAAGAGTTCAGCCTGTCCAATGGGAGAATTACGGGCTAAGGATGCCCTTCAGGGTTGTCACATGTGGATGGAAATGACAATCCCTTTGCTCACTCTGTGCCTGCTCTTTTTGTGGGGAAATGACTTTTTGCAGTAAAGGGAATAAACTTTGGAAGAGAGTCCTCATCCCTTAGCCCCGACAGAGCAGCACGCAGGGATCCACCACAAAGTTCACCAAGAACATGCAATTTCATTTCCCATGAAGAAAGTGTCATGTCATTTTATAGAGGAATGAGTTTAGGGTGTGTTCACCATTTTGTTTAGAGCACCCACCAATTCCTCTGTGCTTGGCTCAGAAATTTCTAGAATTGTCAAGAAAACAATACTCAGGGTTAAGTTGCATTTTAGCCAACAGTCATGAAAATACATATTGTATAGTCTGGCAGATTTAAATAAAATGTCTGGGTCTGAAGACAAAAATTTCTGTAATAATCCCCAGTAAACTTGGCATTTTCCTGCTTTGGACCAAATTTAGTGTGAGATGCTGTTTATCAGATGTACTTGTGGGTCTCATCCCAAGGTCTTCCAGAGATCCAGTTCAAAACCTATTCTTCTGGGCCTCTTTTTCTCAGTGTCTCCCTTTGCTTATAGATCATTAATTACTTTTAAGAAAATAGTATTGCTTCTAAAACATACACATACAGGAACAGACACAAAGACCCGCACGTGCACTTGCACATACATACTGTCTCCTATCCCTCTTAATTTCGTAATTTGCAAGAACAAAAAACAAGATGAGAATAAAATTGCCATAATCTGATTGTGGAGAGAAAAACCCATTTATTGTTCACAATATTCCTGTAGTGTGTTTGTGGTTATTTGTGCATTTATAAAATAAAGAATGCACTGTACTCTATCTTTTTTAAATCAATTAAAATAGTTTATTATATTATTCCCATAAAACACATTTAATATGTTATATGTTGTGTTACAAGATTTTATTTGACAAAATCCTTTTTTGGTATTTAAATGATTTTAATGATTTATAACTACAAATAGTAAGATGTAACTTTTATGTAAGCCTTATTATGTAATTCATTGCTTCTAAGAGTAAACTCACAAAGGTAGAGTTGATTCTCATTTTCATTCTCCCTTTAACTCATCTGTAGGCTCTTATCCCAAGACCTTTTCCTTTACTCACATTTAATGAGCTGTAATTTATGATGCACATGGATATTCCTGGGGATGTGGGGTATTCTGTGCACATCACTGAACTTCTTCATCCTTATACAAGAGTCACATAAATACTCAGAACAGTGTTGGAGGGAGAAATACTCTGTAATAGAATCACAAGAAGACAGGATCAGATTAAGGCCCTAGCAATGATTCAGGTTTCTGACACACTCACTTCATAAATTACATGGCAAAGAAGGATTCTGATTCAGGAATTCTGTCTCCAGAGTCAGTTCCACAGATCCACCTGAATATAGGCCATGAAGTATTCCTTTTGTGTTCTTTTAATCTAGATAATTCCAAGTCTCAATCCTTTCCCAGCTTCTCCATCTTCCCTTCAATTCAGCAGCCTCCTTTGACTTCCTGGGGTTTATGGAAATGAAGGCCACCTCAATTACAGTGTTGACTCATAGTTACCATCTCTTCTCTGTTGTCACAGCCTCAGAAGAAGCAGATCGTGGCAGAACAGGAAGCCATCAGAGAAGGTTTACAGAAAGATCCACTGGCAGTCTTGGTGCTGAAAGCTATAGATCCTTTTGAGTGTGAGACTCAGGAAGGAAAGCAAGAGATATTCCATGCGACAGTAGCCACGGAGACAACATATTTTTTTGTAAAAGTTTTAAATGCACAGTTTAAAGATAAGTTTATCCCAAACGTAACAATTAAAATATCGAACTATCTTTGGCACAGTAACTTCTTGGAGGTGACCAGCTCCTCAATTGTGGTTGAAGTGGATTCTGACCACAAAGTCTGTGTCCCAAATAACATTAGAGACAAAGCTGGGAGAACTCCCAAGATTAGTAAGCTGAAAACTCAGCCTTGTGGAACAATTGTGAATGGGATGTTTAAAGTCCAGAAGGTGAGTCCTGTATGCAATTTTATATTGATTAGTAAAAAGAATATAACAGCTATTCTAAGCTTTAATAGAACTCTAGAAATTATGTTTCAATGTTTTTTCTATATATAAAATACGAAACAGTTAAAATCAATTAAATAATTGATTTTAAACAATTTTAACAACCAAAAAACAATTTTTAAAAGTTCAGAATTTATAAGATGGTAAATTGCCAAAACTTGTGCACAAAGCTCACAAAAGATTTATTTTGTGTGTATTTTTGTTTGTTTTTCTTTTGAGACAGGGTCTTACCATGTAGCTTTAGCTGGTCTGACACTCATGGAGATTCCCCTGCCTCTGCCTCCTGAGTGTTAGGATCCACATGCATGCCACCACACCCAGCAAAGGTTTTATTTTGAAGCCACTTTTCTTTATGATTTTATCCTTGTAGCCTCTGAAACACAGACACAGTTATCTCCCTTTCTGTGTTGCTTTTAAATACTTATTACCATCCACATTGTTCAGTCACTTTTGCTTTGATGTGTGCTCATGGATGAGCTAGAGGATTGATGAGCAGGGTTTGGAAGACCTAGTATCAAATGAAGAGAATGGAAGAGTTAGCAGGGAATCCTTGCTAGATGCTGGCTGTCTTTGTCTGGGTTTCCATTTCTATGAATAGACAACATGACCTCAGCAACTCTTATAAAGGAAAACATTTAACTCGGGCTGGCTTACAAGTTCAGAGGTTTAGTCCATTATTCTCATGGCAGGAAGCATGGTGACATGCAGGCAGACATGGTGCAGGAGGAGTAGCCAAGAGTTCTACATCTGTATCCACAGGCAGCAGAAAGAGAGAGTGAGCCACTGGACCTGGCTTGAGTTTCTGAAACCTCAAAACCCACCCCCAGGGACACATTTCCTCCAGCAAGGCCACACCTACTCCAACAAGGCCACATGTCCTAATCCTTTCAAATAATGCCACTCCCTATGAGCCTGTGGTGGCCTTTTTCATTCAAACTACCACAGGAATCATGGAAAACTAACCTTGTGTGACCGATTTTCTAGCCTAAGACAGATCCTGAAGGACCACAGGGAACTTGTTGATTTCTGCATCTAGTAGCCAGATGACCTTTCTAGTCCTGTCTGAAAAAGTACCGGGAGGAAATTGTCTTCCTTGGAAAATTAAACATAAAAATACCAAATTTAACCCCTCAGTTTTAAACCTTCTATTTGGTCAACTACCCATTAATGTCTATTCACTTAGTCAATTAAAACTAACTCTTAAGTGCTGTCCATATTTTACATATCTGACCAGCATCTCATCCCCTTCTAATCTGTACTTGATTGTGAGTGATTTCTTGTACTTGGCTTTACAAATTTTAGATTTCTTCACTAGGTCTTTTATTATTAGTTTGTGTGTCTCTGGACTTGTTTCATTAAGTGACCCTCCTAACCACAAGGTCTTCCTTTCTTCCCCTGACTGTCTACTATATACTGGCCTTGGAGAAGACCCATCTTCCCTGTCTACTAGTTGTTTCTATGAGCCATCCTGGCTCTTCAAAGGAAAAAGCTGTGGAAACAAGAAGTAACATGCTTTTAATAAGATTCACCTACCTCCTCCACTGAGGTTTGCTAATATCTGTTAGGTAGAAGCCTTCTAGTTTGGAAGTTAGAATTATTCTATATTTCTTTGGGAACGTTGCTCCTGTCCTGGCTGATAATTAATTTACATGCTGCTCTTCCTTGGTTATCTCAGCAGAGCTTAGTTGTTGTTTTCCTTTCACAGATAATACAGCAGCGCAAGGATAGAGTAATATATGGTGTATATGACAACACAGGGGAGATGGACGTGGTGGTGCTTGGAAATCAAAGCAAAACAAAATTCGAGGAAGGAGATAAGCTTAGACTCTCATTCTTTGAGGTGTCAGAAAATAGAGAGGAAAAACAGTTGAAATCTGGACCCTACAGCTTCTTTAAGGTATGGAAGAACATCAGTTCTCAAAAGATGACATTATTTTGTGTTTTCTGTCAGTAAGCTGAGAAAAGGCTAATGAACAGGGTATGACAGAAAAGAGCCCAATATGTAGTGCATTTGAATCTCACAGAACCAAGGAACCTGTCTTTAGAAAATTCGTATCATAGATGCCCAATTACAAACCCAAGGTTATCCCACGGACTCTCTCTCTCTCTCTCTCTCTCTCTCTCTCTCTCTCTCTCTGTCTCTGTCTCTGTCTCTCTGTCTCTCTCTCTCTCTCTCTCTCTCTCTCTCTCTCTCTCTCTCTCTCTCTCTCTCTTTCTCCTCTCTCCTCTCTCTCAGAACTCCACAATGAGTTTCTTGATTACAGTCTAAGTGTAGTGAAGGCAGTTTGCCTGAAGCTGTGCAAATCATTCTGAGAAACTCAGTTAAAAGTCAAGTCAGACTATAAACACCTGGAGAACAAATTTCTGAGCCAGTCCAACCATTCATGTATATACATCAGTCCAGAGAAGTTAAGTAAGTCATCACACCCTGATGCTTAGCCTACTGACACAGCTTTGCTCCCCCCTCTCACTTTCAACAGTGTTTGTATGGACTGTTGTCTCTCTGGAAGTTTTAAATAGAGACCTGAGAAATCTTTATATGTGCCCTGATTAGGTAGGAATGTATGTGTTCAGAGCAGATATACTTCAAGAGAGTCATCCAAGGGTGAAGGAATTAAGGGGGCACATGTGGAAGGGGGAGGAGCTGTGATGAGTACACAATAACTGGAAGTAGAAGAGAGTTAATTGGTCAATGACATCTCAAGCTACATCTTTCTTCTCCACCCAGGTTATTAAGGCCACAAAGCCAAAAACTGAGACGAAAAGTGCATGTTGAAGTCAACTCATCTAAACAGCATTTTGCTGAAGAATTCTAGTTCTGCCTGTTGAACCAGATTGAGCTGCATGAAGCCAGCAGTTTACAGACTCATCATCCTATCCTATTAGTTCAAAAAGGATAAATACTCAACAAATCCTCTGTCAGTTGTATAGCAAAACAAAACACAAACAAAAATCTAATAAAAAATCCCAACACCAGGCATGAGAAACCCTCTTTGGAATAGTTGGTCAGGGTTGTCTAAGAGACTCCCAAAACATTACAGGCTATTACTATTGCCCTTGGTTGACCCCAGAGGTGAGGATAAGTCCCTAGTGCTGGAAACACCATGCACTTCAGTCTTCTACCCAGGGACTATCTTTCATGATACCAGAAGGTGCCATACAAGCTTCCAAAAGAGGGGCGCAACCATGAGGAACACCCAGCTGTGATGCCTAAGAACCATAAACATGACCAGCATGGCACAATAACCCTAAGGGCAAATTAATGTCATGAATACCTTAGTGGTAACCAACAGTTCTTTAATTGGACTTAAGACTGAGTCAACAAGAAAGAAATCATTCCTGGTACCAGAAACCAAGCCAACTACCCTGGGCTAGTGAAGTCATGAATTTTAGAGAAGAACCTACCACCACCACTTTACTAAACCCACATAATTCCTAATTATACTCTAAATATTTGTCCTTATGCACATAGATAAGTGTAGTCCTCATCTCCCATGAAGAAAATTTCTCCTTGCAATAGATGGAGACCATTCTAAAAAAAAAAAACCCACAACCGTCAAAATGTAGAGTTGTGGATCCCAGTCCCAGTGGATATATCTACAGTAGAACTCTTGAACTTGAGATTCAAGGAACACTGTAGAAGAGGGGACAGAAAGGTTGTTGCTGGTGGCCAATGTCAGAGGAGTAGCAGGTGGCAATTGAGCTTCAGGAGTTTGGCCCACCGCAATACAAGGCACTGATGGGTGAATCTTGGATAAGCAAGGCCCCAAGGGCTTTGGCTCTAGAATGTCTCTTACTGTTGCTGTGCCTTTACGTGTTTGCTTCTGCCATTTTTCTTTGGTATCTGGCATGGTGTGAATGGGCATGAGGGGATCCTCACTGTCTTTAATGTAGTGTGATTATCTCCTGGAAATATCCTGTCCTACTGGGCATTTTTTCCCCTTGGATTATTATGAACATGATCTCCTCTTAAGCTTTATTGAAGTAATGTAGTAATTAACTGAAGTGATGGTTTTATACAATAATAGTTTAAATAGAATTTTGATGATTACGGGTTTCTAACCAATGTAGTAAGGGTTATAGTTACATAGTTTATATATGTAGTTACATAGTATATAGTATATATGTAGTTACATAACTATATAGTTACATAGTTTATATAGATAGAGGTTAGTTTAGTGTGAAACCTAATATAGGTAGAAGTAAGACATAGTGTTGCCCCTGTCCCTGATAAAGCAGGGGCTGCAGAGAACAGAAAATGGGAAGTGTCACACAACTTAGGACTCATGAGTTTCACTTGAGGAGTCCTATAGACTATGGTTTCGGTTAAAGATTAAGGAAAACAATAGAGTCCCAGGAGTTAAGCTAGCCCAAGTTTTTTTTTTATTATTATTTTATATAAGAGATTTTCTAGTCATTTTACATATCAGTCACGGATTCCCCTGTCCTCCCTCCTCCCACCCCCCCCCCACCCCCACCCCCGCCCAGCCTTCCACCTCCTCCAAGGCTAGCTCAAGTTTTTTTAATCTTGATGTTAGGAAATGTGTTCATGAGTTTCGGTGTGCAACATAGCTAATACAAAGCTTTAAATAATGACTTCATGTAACTAAAAAACAAAGAATCGGATGATTAGTTAAGATAATTGGACAGGACTCTAAAATATGAGTAGTGAAACAAGTGATCTGTTTTTCTGTTAACTATAAAAACTACTGCCTGTGTAAACAGTTATGGCTGAAGTGCTCCTGATCTGTGAGAAGCCTAAAAGAAAAATGATTAACTGAGTGTGAGTTTCTAAGAAAATGAGCAAGGATGTGATTGAGAAATATAATGGAGTTGACCTGTTCCAGAAAAAAATATTTTTATGATGATTATGTAATAACTTCTGGTTATGGGAAACATTCACCTCTTTGTATCGATTTGATGCAGGGGAATATAAAAAGGATTTCTGAAAAAATAAAGAAGTAGAAGCTTTTATCCCTCACAAAAGAAGTCTGTGTGTTTTTCTTGCTGACTCTGTATCTCATTCCCAGTCTCTCTGACCTGCAGAAGGTTGATCCCTCTGTAGGTTCTAAGAGCCAGAGCTTGACTTTCTAGGCATACACATAGACTGAACACAGATACATAGTTAGCTCCTCACTGGCAATAGTCACAAAAATAAAAATAAATGAATTTGTCTTTATTCTAATACAATCTTATTTATAGATATAGAAACTTGAAATTCATATAATTTTCCTATGTTACCCAATATTATTCTTTGGATTTTTTCCTGAACATATAAAAAATGTAAAAGATACTTTTAGCATATTGGCTATTAAAAAATAGTTATGCTATATAAAAACAGGTAAGACCATACTTTGCCAATTCCTGATCTTAAGTAAAGATACTAGGAATGTTTATAAAATATTTGAAAGTTAAATATATGGGGATAAATACAAAATATGAGAGGTAAAAATTAGAGTATAATACTTGTTGCAAGGTCTTAATACAGTATGTAAAGCAGTATAATATTTTTGAAGTATATTCTGTGTGATTAAAGACATATTGTGAACACTAAAATAGTTTTAAAGATATATAAATAATACAATGACATTGTGATGTTAAGGTCAAGATAAGCCTGTAGAGTATAGGAAGGTAACATCCCTCACATGTCTACAATATACTGATTTTTCCATAAAACTATAAACACAAAACAAAACATAAAAAGGATTTTTTCTACAAATACTACTGGAACAATTAGCTATCCATGTTAAAAATAATGGGCCCAATCCATAACTCACAAAATTAACTAAAAAGTGATATCATTGGCTAGCTGTACAAATCTCAGGCTTTAAAATATTCTACTGAATTCTCTGTAACTTGTATTTAGGCAAAATTTCATCTCTGTGACTCTAAAATTCAGATACACAAACTAATTGCCGTTGAGTTTAAGCTTTATTGCACTGTGGTCAGATAGGCTGTATGGAGTGATTCCAGTTTTTCTAAATGTGTTAGGATTTGTTTTGTATCCCAGGATGTGGTCGTTTTCAGACAAGCTTCCATGGGCTGTGGAGTAGAATGTGTGTTCTTCAGTACAGGTGGAATGTTCTGTAGGAATCTGTTAGGTCTGTCTATTGGATGCATAATGCCATTTAATTCTGAAGTTTCTCTACTCTTTTGTCCCAGTGCCATGTCTACTGCAGAAAGTAGTGAGATGAAGCAACTTGCTCTTACTGAGGTGGAGTTAATCTGTGTCTTGAAGTCTAGTGCATGCTTTTTATGAAACTGGGTGAGCCGGAGTTTGGTGCAGTACTGCAGTATCTTGCTGGTTAGTTGTTTCCTTGACTAGAATGTGCTGCCCTTCTTTATGTCTCCTGATGTTTGTTCTTAGCCAGCAGAGTAATCTTATCATTTTGACCACTTCATTGGATCTTCTATGGTAGTAAAGAAATTGAGATCCTATGATTGAGGGATATGGTGACGAAACTATTTTTTACAAATAAGTAAATATGTGAACAGACATATACCTAATCATTCATATAACTATTTGCACATATCTAAATAACTGTATCTGTATAAATATAAATGTATACACATGTGCTTATGCTTTTAGCATAATACTAGGCAAGGATATGTAATATCTAACTTATATCTAACAGTACTATAATAAGGCACATACCAGAGAGTGAACAATTGAAAGTGAAGCAATACATCGTGAGTCTTGGATCTGTGGACACAGGACATAATGGTAGAACTTTAATGACTCCTTTCCATACGTCAGTTGGAAATGCGATGCGGCTGGCCACACTCTTCTTTACTCATGCTGTCTCTGTGGACCACTTCTCTTTCCTTACCTAACTCCTTTGCTGAAGCTGCATCCTTGCAATCAGCTTTGCTCCTCCTGTTTGAGAGCATAAAATGAGCTAGTCACACCCTACCAGGCATGAGCACAGATAGAACAGGAGATAGGGTGGAGCAATAGTAGGGAGGGAGAAACCACAGTACCAAAGGCAGGAGTTGAGTGGAAGACATCATTGCACAGTTGGTTAAGAGGGCAGTCCAGAAGGCATGCCTGATACAGTTACAGGGGAGTCTGGCATGCTTGGGGGGAGTTTGAAATGTTTGACTTATGACCATCAAAATAAAGGATATCTGAAAACATTCCCATGTGACTGAATAGGTCAGCTCTTACATTTCATCTATGCATTATTATTAGTTTTTGGTGGTGTATAGTGAATCCTATTGTGTGACAAGATCGTGAACTTTGGTTCCTTGTGCTCTAGTTTGCTTAAGGCATCCTTGTTAAACATATGGTATTTGTTGTAAGTTCTGTTCATGATCGTCTGTGATGAACATTTTTTTCCATGTTATATTTGAGGCCCCTATCCAATAATTTCTCTGTTTTTATAAATATAACACTTTTATTATTTAACTTAGGGAATAATAGTTTGAAAGCCTTTCTGAATATCCTCTTTTTACTATAATTTACTACATTTACTGGATAGGCCAGGGACCTAGGGGGAAACCAAGTTCTACTGGTCAGCTAAAGGAATAGCAATAAAATGACTCCTAATGACATTCTGCTATACCTATAGATCGGTGTCTGACTCAGAGATGCTCCCTCTTGTAGTAGGTGGAAACTAACCCAGAGATTCAAATCCAGACAATATGCAAATTGTGAGAGTCTTTGGAACATTCAGTCCTAAATGGGATGCTTTCATCAATCCCCCGTTGCCCTAGAGCTCAGGAAACTATGTGGAAGAGGAGGCAGAAAGACTGTAAGAGCAGATAATGAGGATGACATCATGTCAACAAGACCTTCTAAACACAGCAGGACTGACACATATGAGCTCACAGAGACTGAGGCAGCATGCACAGGACATGCACAAGTCCAACCCAGATGGCATCCCAACGCTGTGGGAGGCAAGTGGATCCAAGTTTCCATCCCTAACCAAGAAACTATTTCTAATAGACAACTGCTTGCAAAGGAAAAATTAGTTCTCTCTGATGGAATCTCACTTTACAAACCATACTTAAAAGTAGGTGGCTAACTCAAAATGAATTCAAGGGTAGTTTTGGATATTTTGTTGTTGTTGTTACATAATGATTTGGACATTTTTTTAACCATACTGGTCTTTTGCTTGTATATTATCGTTTCTGACTTCTTGTTTCTATGGTGTGTGTGTGTGTGTGTGTGTGTGTGTGTGTGTGTGTGTGTGTGTGTCCACGCGTGCACGCATGCACATGTTTGTGCATGTGAATGTGGTGCTCCTGCTTTTTTTTAAAAAAAAATTCTGATTATTTTTATTTGTCTGTTTATTTCCTAAAGAGAAAGAGAAAAGAGGGTTGGAGTTGGATGGATGGGAAGGTGGGGGAGGATCTGGGAGGATCTGATGGAGGGGAAACTGTGATAAGAATATATTCTACAAAAAAAAATTTTCAAGAAAACAAAAACAAAAGGAAGCCAAACAAAAATAACCCCATTTAGAAGTGATGGTAAGAAAATGTTTCCATACATTAATGTTTAAAACTCAAGTTCCTTTCTGTTGCAGCCAAGTCTTAGCAGGATATTAAAAGTGTTGGCTAGGAAGAATGCTTTAGAGCACACACCTGCAAGTGACTGTGCCTCCCAGATCTCAGCTGCCGCTTAGCCACACTTGAGCTCAATTCAGAGCAGAAGAGTCTGAGTTTTTCTCCTGCTTCCCATTACGTATTGGTAAGTTGTCCATGCACCACCTCCTCCATCTTCCCTGTTTATCTTCTGTTCCATAGTAAATGAATTCATTCCTCACTGTTTTCTGAAAAAGAAATAATTAATATTCATCTTCTGAGAAATGTGTAAAGTGTTGTCCCATCTATGAGATGTAAATTGTGTTAGCTTGTCTCTGATAAGGCAAATACAGGCCTAAGTTTAGAGTTGTGGGTACAGCACAGCTTCAGGGGATCTGGTTCACAAACCCTGATTTGGAAATGTCTCTCAAGTTTTTCTTATTTAAGGTCTTTATCTGATGGGTTATTATAGAACACTTTTCCTTCTACAACATTGGTAAAGATGAGAGTTTAGGAGCCCAAGTAGAAAAAAGTCAGAATAAAGTTGATTGCCATTGTGGGTGTCTTAGGTTCTTAAGAACTCAGAAGGGTGACTGGTGGCTCATTGTTGAGTCTGAGACTATCTAAGTCCCCATTAAAAGGATGCCATTTTCTCAATGCACACATGTATCCACTCTATTCCAAATACTTCACACATTAAGTATGCAACATCTCGTTCTGCTTTCCTCACTTGTCTTTTGTTTCCTTTGTTAAGGCTACAGCCAGATGTATGTGCATAGTCACTTAGACATGCTGCAGAGAACACTACGGATGAAAGCAAGATGCCACCGCTGAATATGTACATCAGAATAGGAGACCACACTTTGAACAAGTAGTTAGGTCACCTACATATGCTATTTGCAGCGAAACTGGGACTGAAAGATGCACCTTAAGTC